AGAGAGAGAGAGAGAGAGAGAGAGAGAGAGAGAGAGAGAGAGAGAGAGAGAGAGAGAGAGAGAGAGAGAGAGAGAGAGAGAGAGAGAGGTCTGGGTCATGGGACTGGGTAAAGGGATTACGAAATCATTACTTGGGCAGATATTGCAGCTGATGAGTGATGATGATGACAGATTTACCCTTGAGGTACCCCAGAATGCACTGCTCAAATAAATGCCTTCCCACTGCAGGGTCCACCTGTCACAGCATGATTGGTACCAGTTAGAAAAAAGGGAAAAAGGGAAGGGGGAAAAAAAAAAGAAGCAAAAGATGGAAACTTGAAGAAAAAGCGAAGGTGGTGGGCTAGGGATTTATCAACCTGTGGCGGATTTATCAACCTGTGGCCTTTTCCAAGTGCTGCATTACTGTAATCTTTCTTTCTTTCTTTTTCTTTTCTTCCTTTATTTTTTTTCTTTCTTTTTTTCTTTCATTTCTTTTGGTAGTGAACTTTTTTTTTTTTTTTTAAAAGGCTATATTCTTCTCTCAATTTCACCTCACACTACCTACCTACCACTACCCCTAATTGTAGGCATACGGGGAACCCCGTAGCAGCCAGAACCGTGTTCACGAGAGAACATGCGGGGGCTGCTCCCGACCTGCAGGTGGGCGATACCGGCCAGCCGGTAGCATCAGGGACCATGCCAACAGGACCAATCCCTGTGCCTCCCCTCAGGTCCCCTCCCCTATGAACATCAGCAGACTCTGTTTAATGCCAATCGGGGGATCCAGTGGTCTATCTCTAGGTGGCGGGCGTCAAGCATGCCCGGGAAGGTACATGAGGCCAATGGGGATTGAACCCACGACCTCCTGAATGCCACTTGCGAGCCTTATCAGTTGGTAGTGAACTTTCGATTACAATTTGCTTTGAAGTTAGAGTATAGTATCTGATATTTTTTTTGTTTTGTTTTTTTGTGTTTTCGAATCTAGGCTACTAGAGTGGCCCGGGTCCACTTGCCCGGCCGGGCCAAAAAGAAATAAAAAAATAAAAATTATTTTCTAATTTAAATGTTTATTTTAAATTTGGTAAAGAATTTCGATGTGACCCTGAGGCAAAAGTTGTTCAGTTTATTTTTTTGCATAACATAATTTGTTTTCAGATTTTTTGGATTTTTTTTTTGTTTTTTTTTTTTGGCTGGGACCTTCCCTGGTCCTTGTACGGCCGGCCCGCCCGGGAAAATAGGGTGACCCGGGTGGCCCGGCTGGTAGCCTAGTTTTGAATGCGTTGCCTTCCACCCCCTGGTAGAATAGATGCTCTCTCTCAATCAACTTTCTGCCCGTATGGCCTATGCAAAACTCGTGCTCGACATTGATGTTGATTGGGGTGTCATGACTAAATGGCGACGACTAGGGATTCAACCCTCCCAAGTCAAACTCACTGTTTTTTGGTGCTAACTACCCACCCTAACAGTGGCAAAGCATGCTGGCTTACTTTGGCTTCATGCACAATGCCACTCCCACTGCTGCTTTCTTGTATCGTCAACGAAAAATAGGCTCTCCTTTTTGCATAGTTTGCTCCACAGAACATTTGCTGGAAGATCAACAACACCTGTGGGTTACATGCAAATACGCTCGAGAAGTGTGGACAACACTTAAAAACGCTGCTCTCCTCCATCATCATCACGGGAACCTTCGGTCCAAGGATGCCATTCTTCTGGGTAATGTATTATTGGTTTTTACAAAACCACAAGCCTATGTATATGAAACCATCAGGGCAACAGTGCTGTGGCATCTATGGCAGCATCGTAATGCTGTGGTCAGAAATGGCAAGCCTGTGATGAGCCAGGATCCGTACTCGGCGGCTTCCCGTACCGTTAAGGGAAAATCCCACGTAAGGCCCCAAAGTACGGATTCAGATAATAGGGAAGAACGGGGCTTCATTTCCTTTTCTTTTTCTCTCTTTTTTTTTCCTTTATGAAAAGAGGGACGGAGTACAAAATGCAATTCGAGTCTCGTGTGGCCGGTTAGCGGCCGCACCAAGAAATTCAAGAAGCAGTTGGGACTTAGCGAGAGTAGGATTTTTGAATTTTTGTGCGCACGGCTGTTCTTTTATTTTTTGCGCGCCGCATAAACCCGTTCTCCCCCTCGGCATCCCCGCACCGTCTTCCTTTCTTGCTGCGCATTCCCTTTCTGCATGTCTCTTCGTCTTCCCTCTAGGCGAAGTCCGATCCCCTCCTCCTTTCCCTGCAAACGATTGGCTGTCTGATTGGGATGGTCGGGGCAATGTGGTGGTAGCGGGAAGCGCACCCCACTTGGACGACCATCCCAATCACGCAGATCATTCGACTCGCCCCCTTGATCCCTCTGGAATCTATTTTCTTCTTCTGTCCCGCTCATCTACACCTCGTGCTTCGCACAGCCTCCCCGCCGCCTTCCGCGCTATAAATTCCTGCAGTCCCTTCCTCTCCTCCTCTTTGATCTCGGCTTCAAGCTGCACAAGCTATGCACGAAACCCGCGGCGCCGAAAAGGCTCGACGTGCCCCGTGATGAGCGGAGTGACGGCGGGTGGCGGAATTAGCGATAGACTTGGGGTGAGGCAGTTGGAGGGACTGAGCGGTGGTGGAGATCAGACGCCGGCAGCGGCAGGGCCTTGTGGCTATGGTTGTCGGTGGTTTTGACGGATCGGGGGCTGGGCCCGGAGCGGCCAGTCGTGAGAATTCTGTACACTAAGAACGTGCTTTTTCTCCATCGCTGCTTTGTCCCCGTGTGATGTGTGCATGGTCCCAATGTGTGGGTAATCCGTTGTGCATTTTGGGTATGGAAGTCTATGGATGTTGAATGTCTCGTTGAGGGCTCTATGAGTAGGCGTGTGTGTATGCGCCCCCAGGCCTGATGATAAGAAGTACGGAGTGTCGATTGCTTGCATGAGTGCATGAGTGCGTCGGTCCTTCCTCCTTTCATTTGCCCTTAAACCCGCGCGGGTGTGTGGGATACGCGCCAACCTCCTTCCACCGTCTCTCTCTCTCTCTCTCTCTCTCTCTCTCTCTCTCTCTCTCTCTCTCTCTCTCTCTCTCTCTCTCTCTCTCTCTCTCTCTCTCTCTCTCTCTCTCTCTCTCTCTCATCGTGCGCAGGTCGGGACTCCAAGGGGAGGCGGATAATTTCGGAGAGATCGGTCGTCCGCGTCCCCGTGAAGCGGCCGACCTCTCTGTGCCCACCCCGGGGTCCTCGACACCGAGTTCGGGTTGATGTGACAGAGAGAGACAGAGAAAGACAGCTAGGCACATCCTTTTCGGTGGTATTCGTTGGTCTTTGCATGGAGTCAGGTCTCGTCTCGACGGACGGGAGCGTGGCCCATGGCCCGAGCTCGGACTTTGTCCCAGAACGTCGCAGCGCGCTTCCGCCCTTCCCGATCGCAGATGACGACGGCATATATTGCGTGGACGTGCAGAGCATATTGCGGCGCACTGAGCCAATCCATTTGGGCGTGCCACATAGGAGGGAGTGGGTTCGTGCTGATTGAGCGATTTTCTTCCCCGCCTTTAATCTTGCCTTACACAGATCTCACGGTGCTGCCCTGGTCAACTGTGCACGCCACGTGGCGGCCGCGGTTTAATTGCCACTGGTGTCGCCAGGTAGACTCGTGCTCGTGGCGACGGTTGGTCCTAGGGTACGAAGGAGCCATCCGATTGCCCGAACTCTCCCGCAACGCGGATGCGCTCCCCGCCCATTTTCGAACCTGGGTCCCATCAACCTGCCCGACCCCGGGCAGCCCCGTGCCGTGCCGTCCGCACGGACTCGACGAGTCGGACGTCGAAGCCTGAACCCGATTTCAAGGCCTCCACCCCCAAGGGCCGCGCGAACCAGGCGCCTCGGGGAACGGAACCCCGTTCCCGTCGGCTTCGTTTCTCTTCTCCCCTCTCCTCTCGTTTTCTTTTCTTTTTCCTAAAGTGATGACGGTCGGGCCGTAGGGCACCGTTCTCCTGTTATTCACCCCCGACGACAGCTCAAACCCCTGTACAGGCACCTCGGCCTGAAGCAAGAGTCCCCCGTTTCGTCCGGGTGGCTCAACCCCCACGGCCAAAAATCCTCGGCCACGCCCCTAACTACTCTGATCGACGTCCGACGTACGGAGCGCCACAAGGGGCGTGAGGTTGCGCATCACAAGCCTCCTTCGGTTCAGCAAGTACTTCATCAAGTGAAGACGGACCTTCGGCACCTCATCTGCTTGGATTAGGGCAAAAATATTGGCCAAACACGACACTTGCGTGCTGGGGTCAAGTGGTTCCACTGTCATTGGGCCTGCAAGCCCTCCTTGGCATCCATTGATGCCTGTACCGGAGATTTCCAATTCGGTCCTTTCCTACAGCAGATCAACTCTTTTGCTCTTTTTTTTCTGACTTCCTTTAAATATCTACTTGCTAGATTAGGTATTGCAATTCCCTGTGGTTGTTTGTTCGCATTTGGTCTCTCTCTGACTTTTCACTGAGGTGAAATGTCACAGGGGAGGGGCTCCACCTCATGAAGTAGGTTGGCGACCTTACTTCCCCTGAATCTGGAACCTGTACCATTGTATTTTTGGCCTTGGGCACTGGGCCCTAATAAAAGGCATTTCTTTGTAAAAAAAAAAAAAGATAGTTTGAGTATGATTATTAATTAATTGCTATTATTGTCTGCAAACTGGATCACAATTAATTATCTTTGTGATTAGGACGAGAAGTATTCACATTCAGTGGCATCTACGCCAGTGAAGGATTGTCGAGGCAGGTACAAGCGGCGGCATGTTCCCCTACTCGGGAGAGGGAGCTGTGAGAGCATACTCACATGTATCTTACTGCAATTACGGCCAACTCTGGATGAATGTGGCTGCAATTATGTCCAGAATTCATTCAAAGTCCTGTCGAAAAGCATACTCACATGTATCTTACTGCAATTACGGCCAACTCTGGATGAATCTGGCTGCAATTATGTCCAGAATTCATTCAAAGTCCTGGTGAAAGTATAGACAGGTAATGGTGAATGTATACAACCTAGGTTTCGGGTCCCGTGGGGTCACGTGGGGGTGTGTCGTCTTCGCGGGATTGCCTGAAGTGCATTTTCAAACTGTTTTCGTGACTGTGCCAAAGTTTTTTTCTTTTTTTGGCAAAGCTCTCATTATATTCCCAAAAAGAAACCATTGTCACGAGGCCGGGGTCCTCACAATTCAACCCGGAGTTATCCCGGCAGCATCAGTCGGTTTAGCTTCTGAGGTTAACCGATTCCCA